AACATCACTCCATCTGAGATCATACATACCCAGGATGATTCGAGTATGGAACACATTCGTACAGCATAATGATGTCAACGAGATAACGTCAGTTAATCAAATGAAAATGCTGGCCCACAGATGGCTCCAACTTCATCCTGTTCCCTACTTGTATGTCTCATAACAATAAAAATGCTTTCAAATGAGCTGATGTAGGTAACAGCTCTTAGCTTGTCAATAAAGCTAGGGATCCTTAACCTGTAAATAGCTTGTCAATAAAGCTAGTGATCCTTAACCTGTAAATAGCTTGTCAATAAAGCTAGGGATCCTTAACCTGTAAATAGCTGTCAATAAAGCTAGGAATCCTTAACCTGTAAATAGCTGTCAATAAAGCTAGGGATCCTTAACCTGTAAATAGCTGTCAATAAAGCTAGGAATCCTTAACCTGTAAATAGCTGTCAATAAAGCTAGGAATCCTTAACCTGTAAATAGCTGTCAATAAAGCTAGGGATCTTTAACCTTGTCAAACCCTGTGTAAAAAAAATCCCAGTTAGCTCACTATTTCCCTGGTGTTAGTTAGCGGTATTTTATTCTTCAGATAAGAGATGCCCTGCTGACCTGTGATGGTTGAAGCAGTGATCAATCAGCCTCTGCTGTGCCCGGATGTCTTTACATCAGATTTAAAAACAAATAGATTACATTAACTTTCACAGTATCATAGATTGATGGACTTGTTTGAAGCAGTTATTCCAAGCTCCAATTTTCAAAGCTTCAGGGAAGGGCTTCCATGCTTCACAGTGGTGCTTCAGGGAATATCTCCCAGGGATCATAATGCTTCAGGGATGGGCTCTCAGACTTCACAATGCTTCAGGGAAGGGCTCTCAGGCTTCACAATGCCTCAGGAAAGGGCTCTCAGGCTTCACAATGCTTCAGGAAAGGGCTCTCAGGCTTCACAATGCCTCAGGAAAGGGCTCTCAGGCTTCACAATGCTTCAGGAAAGGGCTCTCAGACTTCACAGTGCTTCAGGGAAGGGCTCTCAGGCTTCACATTTTACCCTGGAGTCCTCAGCTTCATTAAATCACAGTGGCAGTCATCAACGCTTGAGCTGACACCTTTGATCTTGGTATAGCGAACTTAAGCTCAGTCAATCTTATTTCTGTCTCTTTCACCTACCATGAAAATCTCCATTACCCTCTGTATCACTGACACACACACACACACACACACACACACACACACACACACACACACACACACACACACACACACACACACACACACACACACACACACACACACACACACACACAGCTATGATAAAGCTCTTGGAGCAGGAAGAGAGTGGACCTAGGAGCGACCAGTGAAGAGGCGTGGCCAGGAGCTATGAATCGACCCCTGCAACCATAATTAGGTAAGTACACACACACACACACACCACACACACACACACACACACACACACACACACACACACACACACACACACACACACACACACACACACACACGCACACACACACACACACACACGCACACACACACACACGCACACACACACACACAGTGGAATAACCTCGCAGACTTCATACATAGTTTTAAGAGAAGGTACGATAGGACACACGAGTGTAATACAGAGTGAATCTGTCAAGCTGTAAGTTGAGAGAGGGGCCAGGAGCCAAGATCCAACCACTGTAACCACGTAGAGATAAGCACACACACTACACTCACCGCTGCTCTTTAAAGGCCACGTAAGTACCCAGGTTCTCTAATAACTTGTTCATTTTCCCACTATAATCTACCTTGACCATAATTACTATCACATTAGCTTTGTCTGTTTGGTAAGGTGAAGTCCAGGATCTTTCCTTAATTCATGGTATAACTTAACAAATCTTTGATGACAATTGTGTTGTAGAGGTTTGAGCTTCGCTCAGATTTGTTAAGTTCTACCATGAATTAAGGAAAGATCCTGGACTTCACCTTACCAAACAGACAAAGCTAATGTGATTGTAATTATGGTCAAGGTAGATTATAGGGGGAAATGAACATATTAGAAGACGGGGGGTGGAAGGGAGGATTTACTTGCCTCTTAATTCACTCACAGGAGCGTCAAGTATATCCATCATCATTAGTAATCCAATGTTAATGATCCAGCAAGCAGTTGTGACCCTCAGTGAGTGCTGGAATAATCCAGGAATGTTGACTCAGCGGCCCACACTATCCAGTGATTGCATTCACTGCCAGACTTTGCTTGCTAATTAAACTCGCTTCAATGTTATTGATGTCACCACTATTATAGCTTGCACACAACGTGTGTGTGTGTGTGTGTGTGTGTGTGTGTGTGTACTCACCTAGTTGAGGTTGCGGGGGTCGAGTCCGAGCTCCTGGCCCCGCCTCTTCACTGATCGCTACTAGGTCACTCTCCCTGAGCCGTGAGCTTTATCATACCTCTGCTTAAAGCTATGTATGGATCCTGCCTCCACTACATCGCTTCCCAAACTATTCCACTTACTGACTACTCTGTGGCTGAAGAAATACTTCCTAACATCCCTGTGATTCATCTGTGTCTTCAGCTTCCAACTGTGTCCCCTTGTTACTGTGTCCAATCTCTGGAGCATCCTGTCTTTGTCCACCTTGTCAATTCCTCTCAGTATTTTGTATGTCGTTATCATGTCCCCCCTATCTCTCCTGTCCTCCAGTGTCGTCAGGTTGATTTCCCTTAACCTCTCCTCGTAGGACATACCTCTTAGCTCTGGGACTAGTCTTGTTGCAAACCTTTGCACTTTCTCTAGTTTCTTCACGTGCTTGGCTAGGTGTGGGTTCCAAACTGGTGCCGCATACTCCAATATGGGCCTAACGTACACGGTGTACAGGGTCCTGAATGATTCCTTATTAAGATGTCGGAATGCTGTTCTGAGGTTTGCTAGGCGCCCATATGCTGCAGCAGTTATTTGGTTGATGTGCGCTTCAGGAGATGTGCCTGGTGTTATACTCACCCCAAGATCTTTTTCCTTGAGTGAGGTTTGTAGTCTCTGGCCCACTAGACTGTACTCCGTCTGCGGTCTTCTTTGCCCTTCCCCAATCTTCATGACTTTGCACTTGGTGGGATTGAACTCCAGGAGCCAATTGCTGGACCAGGTCTGCAGCCTGTCCAGATCCCTTTGTAGTTCTGCCTGGTCTTCGATCGAGTGAATTCTTCTCATCAACTTCACGTCATCTGCAAACAGGGACACCTCAGAGTCTATTCCTTCCGTCATGTCGTTCACAAATACCAGAAACAGCACTGGTCCTAGGACTGACCCCTGCGGGACCCCGCTGGTCACAGGTGCCCACTCTGACACCTCGCCACGTACCATGACTCGCTACTGTCTTCCTGACAAGTATTCCCTGATCCATTGTAGTGCCTTCCCTGTTATCCCTGCTTGGTCCTCCAGTTTTTGCACCAATCTCTTGTGTGTGTGTGTGTGTGTGTGTGTGTGTGTGTGTGTGTGTGTGTGTGTGTGTGTGTGTGTGTGTGTGTGTTGCTTATTAATTTATTTGGTTTAAGTCGTGTCTACTACACGATGGTTAATGAGTCTGGTTGTCAACTGTACATCAACAGTCATGAATATTTTAATACCATAGTGAAAAATTATATTCACTTCTTAAGAACTGAACATCTCGGTGTATATACACTGAGAGATGAACATCTCAGTATATATACACTGAGAGATGAACATCTCAGTGTATATACACTGAGAGATGAACATCTCAGTATATATACACTGAGAGATGAACATCTCAGTGTATATACACTGAGAGATGAACATCTCGGTGTATATACACTGAGAGATGAACATCTCAGTGTATATACACTGAGAGATGAACATCTCGGTGTATATACACTGAGAGATGCACATCGAAATGTGTATGAATGTTGGAGTGGAGGTGTGAGAAGCTAGAAGTAATAAACGAATGAGAAAAGATAACGGAAGCGAGGAAGAAAAAGAAGATAGAAAAATGGGAGATTTATGTCCGGTGTCCAGACATGAGAGGGAAGAGAGAAGGAGAGAGAAAAAAGAGAGAGATAAAAAGAAGAGAGACAAGGAGATAACAAAAGAAAAGCGATATGCCTCGTGGCTCTTCCTATTTTCTCTTATTAAAGAAATGTGAGAATATATATATATATATATATATATATATATATATATATATTATATTTTTATATATATATATATATATATATATAATATATATATATATATTCTATTTTTTTATCTTTATCCATTTAAAAAAATTATGTGCAAAAAGAGATAATGATTTAGATACCTTTGAGAGATAACTCGGTGGAGGAATTTAGAAAAATATCTCCTGTCCTGAGAGAAAGAGAAAGTGAGAAAGAATGGAGTTGCCGGTGTGTGAAAAATGAGATATCTCAGTTATTTAGATTCAGTTTTCGGGCTTACATGTTTTGGGCAACCTGGTTCCCATTTTCTGTAAATGCTCGATTCCACGTTTTCTTTATTTTTGGGCTGGTTCATATGGGTAACTTTATCATTGTCTTATGGGAGTTTTCTTTCTTTCCTATAATTCTTTCCTGCTCCTCTTCATAATCGCAAATATTCTCTCTATTCTCTCTCTCTCTCTCTCTCTCTCTCTCTCTCTCTCTCTCTCTCTCTCTCTCTCTCTCTCTCTCTCTCTCTCTCTCTCTGTCTCTTCTCTCTCTCTCTCTCTCTCTCTCTCTCTCTCTCTCTCTCTCTCTCTCTCTCTGTCTCTCTCTCTCTCTTCTCTCTCTCTCTCTCTCTCTCTCTCTCTCTCTCTCTCTCTCTCTCTCTCTCTCTCTCTCTCTCTCTCTCTCTCTCTCTCTCTTCTCTCTGTCTGTCTGTCTGTATGTCTGTCTGTCTGTCTGTCTGTCTCTCTCTCTCTCTCTCTCTCTCTCTCTCTCTCTCTCTCTCTCTTAATAAATGTTGTTGACATGACTAAATCTTCGACAAATGGCCAACAACAGCAATAGACATGACTTACCGTTCAACAGAACGACTCACCGTTCAACAGATGGCCAATGAGAGTGGTGGGCATAACTATGATGTTGACCAATAGATCTGCCACAGCCAGATTAGCTATGAAGACGTTGGTGACCGTGCGCATGCGTGGTGCCCGCATGACCACTGCTACAACGAAACTGTTGCCTACGACGCCCATAACGGAGACCAGAACGTAGGAGACGCAGTAGAGTACCGTCACTGACAGGGAGTGACGGAAAGTAGGTACCTCGTAGTCGTAGCAGGGCTGGCTGGTGTCGTTGGTGAGGCAGGAGGTCGTGTTTTGATAGTAGTAGTCGTAGTAAGACGGGGGGTAGTTGGTGGGGTAGTAGTCGGAGATTGTGGTGGAGGTGGTGGTTGTGGTTGTGTTGACTTCTTGGGTGTACATGGTTGAGAGAGGTGGGTGTAGGGTGGTTAGTTGGTGGTTGGTGGATGGTGGTTGGTGGGTGATGGATGGTGATAAGATGGTGGTGGTTAACTGGTGAAGGTTGACTGGTGCTGGTTGACTGGTGCTGGTTGATTGGTGAAGGTTGACTGGTGCTGGTTGACTGGTGCTGGTTGACTGGTGATGATTGACTGTTGATGGTTGACTGGTGGTAGTTAACTGGTGCTGGTTGATTGGTGAAGGTTGACTGGTGCTGGTTGACTGGTGCTGGTTGACTGGTGCTGGTTGACTGGTGATGATTGACTGTTGATGGTTGACTGGTGGTAGTTAACTGGTGCTGGTTGGCTGGTGCTGGTTGACTGGTGCTGGTTGACTGGTGCTGGTTGACTGGTGCTGATTGACTGGTGCTGGTTGACTGGTGATGGTTGACTGGTGCTAGTTGACTGGTGCTGGTTGACTGGTGCTGGTTGACTGGTGCTGGTTGATTGGTGATGGTTGATTGGTGCTGGTTGACTGGTGCTGGTTGCCTGGTGCTGATTGACTGGTTCTGGTTGACTGGTGCTAGTTGACTGGTGCTGGTTGACTGGTGCTGGTTGACTGATGCTGGTTGACTGGTGCTTGTTGACTGGTGCTGGTTGACTGGTGATGGTTGACTGGTGATGGTTGACTGATGCTGGTTGACTGGTGCTTGTTGACTGGTGGTGGTTGACTGATGCTTGTTGACTGGTGGTGGTTGACTGGTGACGGTTGACTGGTGGTGGTTAACTGGTGGTGGTTGACTGGTGGTGGTGGTTGATTGGTGGTGGTTGACTGGTGATGGTTGACTGGTGGTGGGTGACTGGTGGTGGTTGACTGGTGGTGGTTGATTGGTGGTGGTTGACTGGTGGTGGTTGACTGGTGGTGGTTGACTGGTGGTGGTTGACTGGTGGTGGTTGACTGGTGATGGTTGACTGGTGGTGATTGACTGGTGGTGGTTGGGATGCAAACTCTCGAAGCTTTCCTCTGAGGACTGAGAGCACTGAAGAGTAATCCAGACTCTTATTCAGTGTTCTAGACTCTTAGTTCTTCTTTAAGTGTTCTAGACTCTTAGTTCTTCTTTAAGTGTTCTAGACTCTTAGTTCTTCTTTAAGTGTTCTAGACTCTTAGTTCTTCTTTAAGTGTTCTAGACTCTTAGTTCTTCTTTAAGTGTTCTAGACTCTTAGTTCTTCTTTAAGTGTTCTAGACTCTTAGTTCTTCTTTAAGTGTTCTAGACTCTTAGTTCTTCTATACAGTGTTCTAGATTCTTAGGTCTTCTTATACAGTGTTCTAGACTCTTAGTCCTAGTTCGAGCTTCCTAGAACTTCTTTCTTAACAACAACAGACCAGTAGAACTTAATTACTGGAGACAACAGACCTCTGAAGCTTAGTTCTTGGGCACAATAGACCTCCAGAGTTTAGTTATTGAACTTACTCTATTTCGAGAACTAGATAGTAAGGGTAACAGCAGAACATTGTGTTCTGAGGGACGAGAGTTCTCCGGTACTCGGTGTTCCGGGTTCTTAGGCGCTGTTCGGTTCTTCTCCGTTCCTGGAACCACGGTTCTTAGCTGCGAGAATCCTTTACAATGCGTTAACTTTCTTTTGTGGCCTCCTGAAGTCTTTCAGGAATCCTGTGTTACTTAGTTATGTTGCTGCTGGTAACGGTGGTGCTGGCGGTGGTGGTGGTGGTGGTGGTGCTACTGGTGGTGCTGTGTGCGTTATTGTTGCTTCCTTTGTTGCTGCTGCTGCTCCTGAGGACACAAGTGGTGGTGGTGGTGCTCCTTTCTGATGCTTTAGGTGGTGTTGGTGGTGCTGTTGCTGGTATTACTGGTGGTGCTACTTCTGGAGTTGTTGTTTCTGATGCTTTGGCTACTGGTGAGGCTGCTGGCGGTGCTCCTTGCTGATGCTGTTAGCACTGTTGCTACTGCTGTCGGTGACGGTGCTGGTGGTGCTACAGGTGCCGGTGGTGCTGCAGGTGGTGGTAGTGGTGGTGCTGGTGGCGGTGAGTGAACTCCAAGCATATTGAAGACTTCTGGGAAGAATCAGTTGGGTTTCCATGACAACGCAGCTTCTCCTTCCCTTCATCTGCACCGATAACTGAAATCAAATATTGAATGATTATTATTTTTATATTGTAACTGCTTTTAATGATTATTATTATTACCATTATTATTATTATTGTCAATAATTATTATTACTCTTCATCAGAGTACAAAACAAATTCTGGCCACAAAATAGAGCGAAACACCAACGTCAAAGACCTGGGAGTGATCATGTCGGAGGATCTCACCTTCAAGGACCATAACATTGTATCAATCGCATCTGCTAGAAAAATGACAGGATGGATAATGAGAACCTTCAAAACTAGGGAGGCCAAGCCCATGATGACACTCTTCAGGTCACTTGTTCTATCTAGGCTGGAATATTGCTGCACACTAACAGCACCTTTCAAGGCAGGTGAAATTGCCGACCTAGAAAATGTACAGAGAACTTTCACGGCGCGCATAACGGAGATAAAACACCTCAATTATTGGGAGCGCTTGAGGTTTCTAAACCTGTATTTCCCTGGAACGCAGGCGGGAGAGATACATGATTATATACACCTGGAAAATCCTAGAGGGACTAGTACCGAACTTGCACACGAAAATCACTCACTACGAAATCAAAAGACTTGGCAGACGATGCAACATCCCCCCAATGAAAAGCAGGGGTGTCACTAGCACGTTAAGAGACCATACAATAAGTGTCAGGAGCCCGAGACTGTTCAACTGCCTCCCAGCACACATAAGGGGGATTACCAACAGACCCCTGGCAGTCTTCAAGCTGGCACTGGACAAGCACCTAAAGACAGTTCCTGATCAGCCGGGCTGTGGCTCGTACGTTGGTTTGCGTGCAGCCAGCAGCAACAGCCTGGTTGATCAGGCTCTGATCCACCAGGAGGCCTTGTCACAGACCGGGCCGCGGGGGCGTTGACCCCCGGAACTCTCTCCAGGTAAACTCCAGGTAAATATTATTATTGTTATTATTATTATTATTATTATTATTATTATTATTATTATTATTATTATTATTATTATTATTACTATTTTTACTAGTAGTAGTTCTTATTGTAATTATTATCATTGTTTTTATTATTATTTTAATTTTATTAATATCATCATCATCATCATCATCATTATCATCATCGGTATGGTGACGGTCACTACTACAGGTTAGAGAGGAGTGTAGAGAGGGGCCGGGGTTAGGGACCTCTGTAGTATTCCAAACACCACCTGACTACTGTGATGGACCCGGGTTTCCAGCAACTGCAGGCGACTTCTCCAATGGAATGCTCAAGTGGTGGAGCAATTAGCCTGGGAGAGAGAAGGAGGGAAGGAAGGAAGGAAAGGAGGGAAGGAGGTATGGAGGAAGAGGTTGAGGGGGAAAGCCCCCACTCCAATATTCATCGAGGTTGTCACCTCTATGAGAGAGCGTCGTCTAAGCCACCTGTCTAATACAGCGTCTTAGACAGGTGTTCTTGTTTTTAATGGTGGTATTATTTTCTTTCATGAAGCCTCGTTATGATAACCCAGGAGTCCCGAAGGCCTGTTATCCTGGGTGTAAAGGGAGCAAAATAAACACAGCAGAAAAACTTTTGACTTGTATTATCCTTCACCAAGTAAGAACAGAATTATGTACACTATATACACGATGTACAACAATAGGTATTAGTGCACTCCACGGTAAGCAAGGCAGAACAGAAGCCACTAGAGAGCAGACCGTGCTTCAACCAGCTCTAGAATGGGAATGACAATGGCAGACAGGTGTGTGGTACCCACAACACCTCTGCGATTGCCAAAGCCATCTTCTCATTGGTTGGAACCTGGGTACTGATTGAACGACGGGGCCCCATCATCAACCCTTAGCACCTGGTTCGCTGGTTGGGGGAGATAGTCTTCCACTGAGGGTGTGTACATGCGCAGAATAAAGGTTACGTACTCTTTGCATGAGACACTCGTCTTTTATGATGTTTTCTACGTATTTTTTTTTTTTTTTGCAATCACGTGATTTAAACGAGCAGTATTTAGACTTAAAGAGTTTCAACCAGTCAGTTGGGGCACTTAATGCTGACAAAAACTACTTAAGGCTTACTCCAGCGACTCAAAAGACTAAAACAGAAAATATAAATCAATAATAACATTCCTCTTTGATAAACACGAGAAGAGCGAACAAGTAACCAACACAGTTTTCTCCTAACAAAATTGTCAGATGCTTCTCAAAAAAATAAGAAATCAATGACTGAGGATCAGCCACGAGAGATAGCAACTCCCTCGCCAGGGACTGTGACCTGCTCCATAAACCTAGTTGGTTTATGGAGCAGGAAAGCTCTGTGAGGTACAGGCAGCTGACCTCTGCCTTGTCCCAGTACCTCAAACATCAGCAACACTGGACAACGGGACAAAGATCAAGATTGTTACAGGACGCAGAGGACGTCCACGAGAGATAGAAACAATTGCAGCTGTCCTGATTGAAGCAAGATCCAGCCAGTGTCAGCATCCTGGAAGGAAAATGAATCACAGATGGTGTCTCTAGATTACCCTTTAAGAAACACCGAGCATCTCAACCCCAGACTTAAGATTTCTACAACTTGGTCACACACATACACACACTCACACTCACACACACACTCATACCACACCACACACACACACACACACACACACACACACACACCAACACACACACACACACACACACACACACACACACACACACACACACACACACACACGAGTCCTTGGTTTACCCGAAGGTGTAGGGAGGCAAAAACTAAGTGCAACAGAGAATGGAAAAGGTACAGGAGGCATAGGACCCAGGAAAACAAGGAGATTAGTAGAAGAGCCAGAAACGAGTATGCGCAGATAAGGAGGGAGGCCCAGTGACAGTATGAAAACGACATAGCATCGAAAGTCAAATCTGACCCGAAACTGCTGTATAGCCACATTAGGAGGAAGACAACAGTCAAGGACCAGGTGATAAGGCTGAGGAAAGAAGGTGGAGAACTCACAAGAAACGATCAAGAGGTATGTGAGGAGCTCAACACGAGATTTAAGGAAGTATTTACAGTAGAGACAGGAAGGACTCTGGGGGGACAGACCAGATGGGGACACCAACAAGGAATACACCAACAAGTGTTGGACGACATACATACAGATGAGGAGGAGGTGAAGAAAACTGCTAAGGGACATCGATACCTCAAAGGCAATGGGACCGGACAACATCTCTCCATGGGTCCTTAGAGAGGGAGCAGATATGTTGTGCGTACCACTTACCACAATCTTCAACACATCCCTGGAAACTGGGCAACTACCTGAGGTATGGAAGACGGCAAATGTAGTT